CGATATTTTTCCTCCATTTAATTTCTTGCTTTACTTCTGCTGCTTTGATGCCGTAACCAGAGCGCAATCATTCTCGACAGTTGAGGGGATAAAATTGGGGATTTGAAAAGGTAATTTTTAAGCTTTTGAAAAGGCAGGTTTTAAATAGTAATTAATAAAATGTGTGAAATTATCATACAGAAATACGAGTTTTATCATCAATTTAGAATTGTTGTGTGTCGTAAATTCAAACCTGCCATCAGCTTGTTTCTAAGAGAATTGGTCGTTAACAATCTTGCCAACGGGTGGTTAGTTTTGGCGCGTGCTAACCATTCTAGGTCCTTTCGAGTGTCTTTGTCTCTAAGGGGAATAAACACAGAGAACTTTGACTTTTAAAGTAAGATATGATAAGGCTCACTGTGTTTTTTTTTAGATTACAGTGAAGTATTTTGAGGGCTTACAATTGGGTTTGCCGATGTGTTTGCTTGGAAGTGTTTTTGGCAGCTTAATGCTGGACCATGGGTTCGTTCCCTTTTCTTATACGAATTTGAACGGCGTCGATTTTTCTTCTTTTTGGCAATTTCCCATATGCATTTGTGCACTGGAGGAGTTACCCAGCTTGGTTAAATTTTGCTCAAAACCGAGAAGAATGCCAAAACCGCTAGTTCCCTCGATTTCGAAGAGGAACATAGCAATAATGTAACGGCTGCTTAAAGAACTAATTTTTTTTTAGTGATCGTCGCGCTTTGGTGGAGCACTATTTACCGTGGTCTATGGAGCAAGCAGTGAAATCGCGACTGTTTATTGCTTTTGATTGGGAGAATCATTTCGACGAGTCTGTTTCTGATTTGCAAAAAGCTTGTTCAGTCACTCCTTTTCCTGGTTAGCGCTGCTGTTGTTGTTGTCTCATTTCATCCTGAGAATTCCATTGCCTGCTTTTCCAGCCATACATCTGGCCGTTTTAAAATTGTTACTTTGATCAATGCTCCTGGTGATCTGCCTTCTGGCGACACCAGCATTTGTTTTATCACCTTGTTACATTGTGAACTCAGAGGTCCTTCCTACCGCCTCCCATTGATCGCAGTGAGGTAGTGCTCATCTCGGCCCATCAAAATTATTTGTTTCTAATTTTTGCACCAACATTGCCAAATTCGCCGGCAACTTCACTTCATGATAAT